AACATGAGCCAGGTTTCTCATTTCTGAGCAATTCCTGCTGGAAAGCATACCTATGAGCACACAGAACTCTCATATGATATCTCTTAGTGAATAACCTGCTGACACTTGTAGCTAGTTCTGATCAGAATCCAGTCTGCTGCCGTGAATTTGTGTAACAAGTTTGTTTGTTGTCAGGGCACATAAAACAAGGGCTATGCTTAAACATTCTGCATGATATTTCCTAAAAAAAGAAACCAAGCAGAGAACACAATTTCGATTTATAATCTTTTGTCAAACATGATATTAGCTAGTAACAAGATTGAAGTATTGGCTACCTATTTGCTGGCTTCCCGAGATGCAGAACAGACAAATGAGCTGCATCCCACAACACATCCAGTGGGTAGGCTGTTGAGTTTCATGGTTAGGGACACATAGCTACAATCACATTTCAGGTTGTCTGTCAGCTTCCATTTATGGCACATGGCTACATTGTCCTTGTTGCATGCAAATTAAATTAAGCATTGTATTTACAGAAGATCCAAGCCAAGGACCTCTGCTGTTTGGTCAGTGATAAAGCTTGTTTTTTTCCCCCCCCCTTTATGTTTCTCATGATACCACCAATTTGGACAGTATGGCATGCCACAAATATTAGTTGAGATTCCAAGGCCACCATGATTCCAAATGCCTCATATGGGTTTTTCAAGTTTTTGAAAACTGCAAATTGGATTGGTGATAAGCCAAACATGGATTTTGTGTGCACAATAGCTCATCAAGAACTTGCCATCCAATGTCATCAAGTAAACAACTTAACGTCATAAAATGGCATTGTTGTGAATAGCATGTCATGATGAAAGCAAATCCAAGGATGCCCAAAATTCAGATGTCACTACCATCTACCTCTAATTTTACTGCCAGCAGATAATTTTCTGAGCCTCGTTCTTTGTCAGCAACATCATTATTGACAGAAATGGGAAGTGTCCTTTCAGTAGTGTTTTTAAAGTGGATGAACATCAATGGGGAAAGATCCAAGCTTAGGCTTCCAAACCCACACAATGAATAGATCCCACTCAGTTGATTTTTGCTACAACATAGATACTATTCCAAGCAGATGCAACGGCACCAATAAGATAAGGATATCTTTGACTAACTATGCTTTCTGTAATACCCAGGTACTATATTGACTCATCTACAAATATCAAGACTGTGCGTTCAGCTGCTACAACAGACTTAAGCATAAAATCATTAAAAAAATGCAGTTTAATGGAAAACTTAAACTGTAACAGACAAGACACTCCCATGGTGTCAGGAATAAGAACAATTCCCACAAGGCTCAAAATTGATGATGGCGCTGTCTTTCAGATGAGGTATTCACAAAGATTAACTCAATTGGCTGGAAGGCTGGCTTGTGATGAGGAGTGATGCCAACAGCATGGTTCAATTCCTGAATTGAACAAGGTTACCATAAAGGATTCTCCTTCTGAACTGCTGCCCTTGCCAGAGGCATAGTAACCCTCAAGTTAAAGCACCAGTCACCTCCCTGACAGCAGCCCCAGGGAGACTATGACGACCACAGCTTTAGCTCTGAAATTTATAGGATGTAGAGTACTCCATTTAACTATTCTAGAAAGAGTGTTGATTGATACTCGTCTCAACTATAAACATTTTATTCAGTTATCTATTCATTGCAAATTTTGCAGATTTCAATAAACGATAACAGCATAGTTCATCTAACTATAACTATCAAGTGGAAGAGATATGGAACTTTTGCAATGAACTAGTTTACAAATTATAGCCCTGGAGTAAAACCCAAGAGTATGTATTTGGTAGCCTGGCCACCATGTTGTGCGTGTTCAGTTATTCCCTATGTCACAAAAACCCTAACCTTGAGTAAACCACTACAAGGAATATCCTTTCTTCCATCCAGGCTGCAGCTCACTGATGCTTGGTGGCTCACCATCTGCAGATCCCAACACTATACTACCTTCTCAACATTCAGCAGTATCAGCATCATCAGCATCTGAACAGCTGATCAGATTAAATAGTGGCATTGCTGTCTTCCTCACTAACAGCCCAAAAGGTGAGGGTTAGTGCCAAAAGACCAGTCACAGCACTGCAGCTTGTACTATATACCAAATAGTAGGATGAAGGTAAAGTGGAATATGCCAAGATATTCCTAAAGCAGGAATACATTTTCATTTGTAATGTTCTCAGTCACACTAAACTCAGGTGGTTGGGCTCATGACCCAAAACCCCATTTCCTCTGTGGGGCTCAGGAAAGGCAGGCATTCATTCACCCACCCTGAATTTCCCCATTATGAAATTCTCCCCTGCCTGTACCTTGCTATTCCATAAGCCCCCATCTGAATTCTTCCATAGCAACCCTTGCAACTCAGCTTTCTAGTGCTTCATTGCTTGCAAGTTTGCCTCGTATAAAATTGGAGCTCACTAAACAGAAGAAACCCCTTTCAGTGTGCAAGTTACACAGGTTAAATTTTAAACTAAAAAAGGGTAATGCAAAATCTTCATTGAAAATATTAAAACTTCCAAGAGATTTTTTTTAGGACATGTACTGCCAGTCAAGATGTTGCAAAATCTTTTGATATAGTGGGATAGTGTATTGCTGCCCCCTAGTGACTTTGCCTGGCATATGAAATCTACAAATTCATCACAGGACTCAACTGCTCATCTCATCTCCAGGGCTCCTGTTGAGTTTTTCTGTTTTTGCTCATAATTTAAGATACCATTTCTTGTCCTTGGCTGCAAACATCCAAGCCCATAGACACCATAATTTGTGAATAAATTGTGAATCAAAAATGACTGGAATCTGTTGGTCTCAGTAGTATTTCACACTAGCACACTAACAGTTTAATTCTCTTCAGTTAACTATACCAGTTTGATGCCTAGCTTTAATGTCACGAGGTGCATTCCAAATGCTAAAAACGCACTAGTTAAGATAGGAGCAGTAATGGCCAGGTGTAGGGACCTTTCATGACCAATTAGGAAATATTCTACACAAGATAGTAGAAATGTAAACATTTCCTTCAACAGAAATTGGTTAAACTAATTTTAACTACCCTACTCAGTGCTTTCCCCCATACCATCACTATCTGCTGCTGGAAGTTGTTACACAGCAAACCACCCAGCTGTAGTATCAATGTGAGGTACATGAAAATCAAGAAATTAAGTGCACTACAATGCTTGTGGGCAATACAGTAATGAGTAACCCCAATTTGCATATAGACTGGATTAACCAAGTTAATGTGAAAAATGAATTCCTGATGCATGTACCAATGTGGAGTGTGACAGATCCCCAGAACCAGTTAGGGATCAGTTATTTTAGTATCATGACATGATATCAAGTCTAAGACTTCAGGAGGTGCATTTTGTCCTTTTTAAGAGGTTTTATGACAGAGGTGCCAAGCTGTCTATTTGACTCCAATAAAGTAAATATCTTGAGGGGCTTCAGTTTTGTTTAAAAAGTTGAGTAGTAGTCTGAATGGACAGGGTTAAACTACTCCAGAGTCAGGATTTTTAGTTTTAGCTTTCAATAACAGTTGCTGGGGTCTTGAAGTGGGTTTGAAAGCTGCAGTACATCTTTCCCTGCTACTGTTTGATAGTTTTTTGTCCTGACTGGAGGACTGCATGAGACAATCTGTTTTACTGAATTTGCCTTTACTAAGTGTTTATGGGATGTTATTGTATTGGAACAGTTAGTGTTTCGTAGTTAAATAATCTACTAAATCCAACTGTTCAAGAGACAAATGTCCACAGCATATTTTAAACCCCGTTATAGATTTTAATTCAATTATCTAATGTGATTTAACACAATTTATTTCATTTGTGATAACCCACAAAACAAATTTGGACTATACAAACACCACAAATTTGGCACCCATGTCTTTTGAACTCTACATCTGAACATATTTGGAGTTAAGTACCCACAAAAAGGTCAAGTTTGTTGTGATCAGAACAGTTCATTCTGCTTCACCTTCAAGTTTTCTAATTTGGATCTAGCCAAAATATTCAGAAGTTCTCTTCCCCTAGTGTTTTCCCTTCAATGAAAATTCCATACCCAAAATTCAGGTTCTCTGAAGAGGTCAAAGCCTAGTTCACTGACCATCTGTTCTAATCTTGTCTCAAGGTGAAAATTTCTCAACTGAATCATTATGAAATTAGAGGCAATATATATATTAACTGAAATATCACAGGTTACCAATTACTTTGTTATGAAATAAGTAAGCTACAAATTTATATGAACCAAATGCACATCTTAAAGAACATTGCAAATTCTCAGTTCTTGTTAATGAACCCTAACACAGCATTCCAAAGCTAGATTCAATTTGCATGCGGCCAACAGTGAACATACATGCGAAATATCACAGAAGAAATGAGTTTTTATGTAGCTTAACACAAACAGTGACCATTAACTAGGTCTCTTCAGTCAGGTTTCCATTTTCTATGTTTCCAGCATTTCCTAAAGCAGAGTAAAGAAAGTAAAATATAAAAATGTCCATACAAGCATTCGATGCAGTATATATTACATCTTTAAAAAAATTCCTTTCGCACAATAAAGCAAATGAGAGAATAGTGTGTGCCAACCCAAAATAGCATCAGAATCAAATAAAGTAGGATGTTTCATCAAATTTTAGATGGTTTGACCAGTCAGTAAACAAGTCTCATTTCAGTGAAGCTCAGCAGAGTTAACACAATGACAAGAGATTAAAGCTGACCATTAAGTTACGTTGTAGGGGTTGTGCTCAAATTTCAGCCTTGCTTTAAAGTGTATGTGTATCCCATGAGCATATACTACAAAACACATGATTGCAGTAACTAACACAGGATGATACTCTTCGGTCATAGCGTAAAGAGTTTTTGGATTTGCACCAAAAACCCTCTTTGAAGTGACCAGGCCTGAACCTATAGCAAGTACCACAAAAATGTAACATGAAGTATTTGTGCCTGCAGATAGCCATATGCAGGTGTTAGAGCAGGAAGAATCAAAGCAATTAAGAAAAAAAACAACTTGCCTGGAATACAAGCGGCCATTTTGACACCAAGTCCACCCAAAATATTTTCATACTCTTTCCCTTTGTTTGGTATCAAGACTTTTATTAGTGTCCTCCAACCTATGGAAAATATGCACAAGCCAGTCAGTAAATAATGCTGTCAATTCTGTACTTGAATCAGTACAAAGTGCTGCCTATTACTGACAAGGTGCTAAATAGACACCCAATACCAGGAAAATCTCTAGTTTGATCCCAGTTTGAGAGTGCAACTAACTCAGAAGGAGCAAGGTAGTCATGAGCTCAAACTGCTTTTGGCCAACGAGAAAATCCACACTACTGGCTGGCCAAATAACAGCTCACCAGCTTGACAGAAGCCAATCTGTAGTTCTAACTTGCAACTAGTGAAGAATGGTTTAAGGGACATGAAGCTTCAGGTGGGGTTAGAACAAATGGCAAAGGGGACAATTCTAAGGCCATTCTACACTTTTGCCAGTGTTAATCAAGCCACATAACGAGTTAATACACATGATAAAGAGAATCACTGGGACATTTATGCTATCAGCATTTGTGAAGCTAGCTCTTCACAAATGCATTTTTGGGTGACAATTGCTTCTGGGACACTGATGGACTGCAGCTACTGTTGCAGGCAAGTCAACGACTAAACCCATTGGATAAGGAACAAGATCCTACACTCTGGAAGCAGAGCTGATCAGACAGATTGGACATGGTGCCACTTTATGCATGGATTGATCAGTGTGCAATTTATACTTCATAACCATAATTTACCTGCTTGTTTAATTGTCTTCTATCCAGAAGGCCAAAAGAAATCATATCTTGGCAATATTTTCATGGGGGGGGGGGTAATTCAGTTAAATCTAGTAGTTTTGTTTACAGGCTGCCAGCATTAAACTATAAAGCACAGTTCTGTTTTAGAGCAGGGTAATGTTCCCAACTAACTTACCAATTGTTAACTATGCAGTCAGCTGGGATGGTTTCTTTATGGTCAACTCCACAGCAGATCAGAAACAGTCAGTCATTCTGGCAGCCTTGGTAAGTGACCAATGTCTCACATTACAAGTAGTTTATTTTACCAAGTGAAGCTACATATTTAGCTTCAGCCTAGAACTCCAAAACGTCATACAGTAACTTTTGGAAAATTGACAGGCTGTTATTTATTCAATTTTTGCATTGCAAGAGGCTATTTTCAAAAAAAAAAAAACAAAAAAAAAACTGCTGTACCTGTTCAAGAATTTAGTGCAACAATCACTGCAGTCTTGAGCTCTGACAGGCCTATTAAATTTAAAAAGAATCAATGGTTTTACTAGAAACATACCAAGCTTAACTCAGATCAACATATAGTGTTACATGTATCAGCAAAAAAAACCAAGTTAACAAACACAATGAGCCTGCCAACCAACGATGCAAAATGCTGAATTAGTGTAGCACTGTTTTATGAACATCCACCAGGAACTACTGCTGGATGCAGATACGACAGTGCATTTTAAAACTGATCTCAGACACATGCAAGTTTTAACTATAAAAATAAACTTGACATACCTGAAGACGGAAGTGCCAGGAAGTGATTTACTTCTGAGGAGTCTTGACAGCTTTAGAGGGAAAAAAAAAAGCCATGAGATCCAAAATGCATGTCAAAGCCTGAATCTAATAAAGTATGAGTTATGACAAAAGCAGTCCTGTTCAGAACAAAATTATTTTATGTTCATTGTTTTTCACACAGCAGTTGAACAGAAAACTCATCACTACAGAACTCGCACTTGAACAATAGTCCTGCGAATTAGCTTTGGCCATCAGGGAAGAGCAGGGAGTGAGAAACTGACTCAAAGACAGACACATTGGGTTTAATAAATTCCTGCTGTGCTGTATCATTATCAGCAATGCTGCAATCTATCCTGATTTCACAATAAATTTATATGTGCAGCTTTCCTTCTCATCAAGGGTTCTTGGAATAGAACCTGATGGAAGTGACAAAATACTTCCAGAAAAAGGCAGAACTTCTCAAACCAACGGAGCAGCAGACAAACCTACCATTCAATGCTTCAACTTCCTTTCCTGGTAATAAAAGAGTTTCCAAAGGTCACCTCACATGGACTGGACATCCCTCTGAATTCTGCATGGAGACATTTTAAGGCCTTTAAAATACAAGCCATTTGTCAAAAATCAACAGGCACACAGTCCAGATCCAGCACCCTTCAGGAAATACCCATGGAAAACTAGGCAATTGTTTTGTAGTTTAACCTCGTTGGTTTAACAGCATAATCCAACGAGTAAAGCGAGAACTACAAAGTTTACTCTTTGAGGCATTTCCAACAACATAAATCTATTGTTAAGTTTCAGTTGGGATAGACCTCATGCCCCCAGTGCTACAAGCATCAAGTGCTCAACTCCAATGTTAATCAGCAGACTTCAGAACTGTCTCTGCCCAGTGCTGCATGGCAGTTTTGGCTGTTTGCCAACATACCCCAAACCCAGGAGCCATTAATTGAATGGTGATTAACTTGCTTTTTTCCTTTCTGCTCCTACGCTGCTGCTTGGCCTGCTGTGTCCATCCAGCCCTGCACCTTGCTGTCTCGGATTCTCCAGTTCCTACTATCTCCGATTCAATTTTAACCCCACTGCGAAGCCTCCAAGGATGCCTAGCCTGAAGAAGTTACCCTCCTCCCTCAGGGGGTCTCTATCTGCCTCCCACTCTCTCCCTATTTATTTCAGAACCCCCTTCCCCTCCCCCTTTTCTGATGAAGGGTCTAGGCCC